GGGGCGGGCCCGGCGAGCGAGGGCGCGGCCACGGCAACCAGTCCCCAGCAGCCGAGCTGCACCGCGACGGCCACGGCGGACACGAGGATCCACCGGGACTCCTGGCGCAGCATGGTGCCCTCCTCCAGCAGCTCCTCCTTGGAGGAGCAGAGCAGCGCCAGCACCGCGGTCGCCACCATCAGGAGGCACGTGTAGGCCAGGGAGAGGAGCACGTGCGGGGCCTGGGTGTGCTCGCCGGGGCTGCCGTCGCACTGCCACATGGCGTGCGGGGCGGCGGCCTCGGCCGGGGCCACCATGTGCACGGAGGGCGGCACCAGCGCCAGCCAGCCCACCGACACGAGCACCTGGGGCGCGGCCAACCCCAGCGCGCGCAGCACCAGCATGAGCGGCCGCACCACGCCGCCCTTGCGGTCGCACACCTGCCAGGTGGTCAGGACCTTGAGGAACATGGCGGCGAAGATGAGGGCGTAGGCGAGGGCGGGTAGGATCCTGCGCGCGCCGCAGGTCATCTCCCCCGGAGCCAGCACCAGGCCGAGGACGGCGCCGTGCAGGAGCAGCAGCCCCAGCAGGATGAGGTAGCCCAGCACGGAGGTACCTGCGGCAGAGCGTGGAGTCAGCTTCGAGAAGGGGACAAGGAACAACCACCCCACCCCAACGCGTGGTTGTGAACGAACCTGCGCCCCCGGAGATGGGCGTCTTGGAGACGGCGGCGGCCGAGAGGAAGAAGACGGCGGTGAGGAGGGTGAGCAGGATGCCAAGCAGCGCAAGCACGAGCAGCGACAAGGCCCACGCGTACTGCAGGTTGTGGAACAGCGTGGGGCGCCCGCTCACCGACAACCTGCGTCGACACGGACGTCAACAACACTGCCACGCAGCATGGAGGTAATCGTTCAGTAGAGTATAGGAAGTAGGCGCACTCACTCGTCCAGGGCAAGCAGGCCCGGCTCGGTGCTGAGGGCGAGGCCTCCCTGCGGGCTCCAGGACCCGAGGGCCTCGTCGCCTCGCCAGATCCGAAAGGTGTCCACCTTGGGCGGCGGCAGAGGGTCGGCCGAGTCGGCGCGCTTCTCCTCCTCCAGGAAGACCGACACCTGCGAGGGCAGGTCGGCCGGTTGCGTCCTGTTGTCCGTCGCCCATCGCACGCCCCTTGCAACGCGCTCCACGGCGTGCATGATATCTGAGGGGCACACCATGTTATCACACATCACAATTTGGGAATTTACTTTTAATATTGGGAAATATTACTTGACTCAAATAAAGTTGCGTGTTGGGGGATTTATTCAAGTTTGAAAGTGGTTTGCATTTTTAGAAATTTTCAAATCCACCAGTGATAACCATACCTGCTCGGGTCCACAAGTCGCGGTCCAGGTCCTCCGGGTCGCAGGAGGACGAACGGAGGCTGTCCGCCCACGCCGAGGGCATGCCCGACATTGGGTTGTTCTGGAGCCACTCGGTGAAGGCCGCCTCCAGGCTGTCCGCTCCGGCGCGCCGAGGAGTGGCCGAAGGCGGGACCACCGAGGCGTCGGCCACCAGGCTGAGGACGCTATGCCCGTCTGGCGGACAGGGCAGGATGCACAGTCAGTTGCCGTCTCCAGAGTTATTCGTGGGTTGACTCGCGGTGGAGCAGGGGACGCGACCTTACCCGCGCGCAGAGGCGTAGCCGAGCGCAGCACGGCGAGGAAGACGAGGCGGGGCACCAGTGGGGACTGCGCCACCAGGAGCAGGGCGCGCACATCGTCCAAGCTGTCCAGGGCCAGGATGACTACCGAGTTGGGGGTGAGGCTGGACAGCAGATACAGCGGCCCGGAGCGCCCCGTCGGACTGCGGCGTGACAAGAGATGGGTGACAGGGGTTGCATGAGGGTCGAGGGTCGTGTCGGTGTTGGGTGCTCTGCTCACCTGGCGTCGCCGGCGGGCATAGGCAGCACCGCGCTCAGGCAGCCCGGGGCCGCGGTGTGGTGGTCGTGGGCGGGGCACCGCGCCAGGCTGGCGCTCTCCAGGTGGCGGGCCAGGGCGCGCGCGTGCGGCGCCGAGCCGTGCAGCACCACGAGGGGCGCGGCCGCGCCTTGGGCATCCTGCGACTCGGTGGCACCCGCGGGGGACGTCGGCGCGGTGTGCCTCTGCAGGGCCACGGACACATCCAGGAGCGCGCGGGAGGTGGCTTCCGTGCCCGCCTGCACCTCCTGCAACACCGTGTCGGACGCACAGTTTTGGCTAGTTAGGTTGACCACCGAAATGATTTTCCGCAAGGGAACGGGGGCCGAACGAGTCCCACAACAGAAAATAAAGCCCGCCGTGCTCACCATGTGGCGCTGGGGCTGGTGGTCCGAGACGTTGAGTTGCGGTATGGCCTGCATGTGCAGGAGCGGCCCCACCATGGGCCCGACCACGGACGCGCCGTCCATGACCAGGGCGGCGACGGGGACGGCGGAGCGCTCGGACTGGGACAGCAGCGCGAACAGACTGGAGTACGCGCGCCCGGGCTGGCCACACGTGTCCAGGGCGATCAGCCCCAGTTTAGGACCTGCGGACCGCGAGAGTTACAAGCAGGGGTTGAAAACGACCCAAGTCACTGACAGCGTGCTGCATGGCGCCTTGGCGTGGGATAAAAGAGCAGCGGACGCACCTCGACCGTTAAGCAAGGAGGCGTTGGTGTTGGCACGGTGCACGGCGAACATGGCACCGGCCAGGTGACAAAGCTCGTCCGCGTCCAGGTCCCCGCAGTGGAAGGGCCCCGCGCCCACGCCGTGCATCGGGGAGTGTGCCGCCAGCAGCACGAGTAGGGCAGGCGCGGGCTGGCCCTCGGCGCCGACGCCGGGCAACTCCATCAGGTACCTGCTGCTGGTGCTGCTGGCGGCTGTGGTGGAGGTGGTCGGCGGGAGGGTGGAAGTGAGGGTGGCCGGTGTGGTGGAGTGTACTCCCGGGCAGGAGATCGTTGTGTCCAGGAGGTCGACAGGTTCCCTGTTCGGGCCGCGGTACGCCCTGGCGGTGTCCTCTACGAGGCCAGTCAGCCCGTCAGCAGCGGACAGCTCCGCCACCGGTACCGCGACGGCAGCTTTGCTGTGGGCTGACACCTGCACGTTGAGGACCTCCACGGCCACGTTGGTGTTCTCGCCGGTTGCGGAGAAGGCCACCGCGTTGAGGCCCGCGCCGACGAAGGCCATCCTGGGGGCGACCTCCAGCATCCGCGCCCGCACCCTGAGCATGCCCGCCATGGAGCGGCACGGAGAGCGGAGCCCGGAGCCGGCGTCTCCCGGACACAGCTCTCTCCTGACGGTCTGCAGAGCGTGGCCCACGGCAAGGACCGAGTTGATGACGTTGGCGGTGGCTGGGTTCTATGGAGAGCGATTTTTCAGAAACGTTACAAAATAGCAACTTTTAAAAACTGATGAAAATTTTTCACAAAATTTTAAGAAAAATGCGTAAATGATAAATTGCTTAAGTCGCAACAAATGTATACTAACGGGTTGCATCTGATAGGCGTCCAGGCCGCGCGCGCCGCGGCCCGAGCTACGGCAGGCGCTGCCCCGGCAGTGGAACACGCTGGACCAGAACTCGCTGAACCACGGGTTGCGCTGGTTGGCGTCGAGGGACAGTGAGCGGAAGTAGCGTTCAAACTCGGGGACGCCGCCGGGTCGCGATCGGAGGATGAGTCCGCCCAGAGTCTGGCGGCTGTGCGCCAGGAAGGCGGCCTCGGCCTCTCCACCCACCCCGATCAGCGACACCTCCCGGGGCACCCACAGGCCCTCGTCCTCCAGGGCGGCGGCCGTCCGCAGCACCGCGTCCACGCACCACGCCGGCATCAGCAGCACGACGGCGGCGTGTCCTCCCGCCTGCTTCTCACGGACATCAAGGAGAGCCTGCCTCAGGCTGCTGGTGTGGGTGCTGCTGGAGCGGGCGCTGGCTGGCACGGGCACCCCGGCGACCGACAGGTTGGACGAAAGTGCTAGGCTCTCCATCTAGAGCAGGGACGTTGAAAAACATGCGAATGATGTCAACTAGTTTGTCAAGTTTGTCATCAAAGCTACAGCTACAGTGACAACGGAACGAACCTGCCTAAACGTCTCCTCGAAGTCCACGACGTCCTGGAGGTACAGTACGCTGACACAGCGCCACCGCAGCCGCAACAA